TGTGTGTGTGTGTGTGTGTGTGTGTGTGTGTGTGTGTGTGTGTGTGTGTGTGTGTGTGTGTGTGTACTACAAGAGGTCCTCTTTGTGTCCGGGCTCTCAGGTTTCGGGAACAGGAGACGAGACACAAAGAGGGACAGAGCTCAGGTAGAGTCTGAGGCTGAGCCGGAACAAGGAGAGTTCTGTTGAGGGGGGTGGGGGGGGAGGAAGAGGAGGAGGAAGAGGAGGAGGAGGGACTGTTTACAGCCTGTAGAGTTCAGAGGTCATCAGCTGCTCTCCTGTCCTCTCAGACTCTTTAACGTCCACATACTCTTCAAGGTGAAGCGTTGTGGTCCTACCTGAGCTAAGCCCCACCCACCTCTCGGTCAGAGCCTTGCTCTGGTTGTCCCTGGCGGCCTGCAGGTCCCTCTCCAGCCGTTTCTTCTCAGTCTCCAGCTTCTCGGCGTCGTCGGGCTCCAGGCGCTGCCGGGGCCCGACGTACTGCAGCTCCTTCAGAAGCTCCTCCTTCTCGTTGATCAGGATGAGGCGGTCCCGCTCCGGGTCCAGCAGCCCCGGCCACGCCTCGCTGTCCAGTTTGGCGATCTGCACCTCGATGTTGGAGATCCTGGTGGGTAAAGATGAGATCAGTTTAACGTTTCAAGGTCTTCTGGATGAAGAGGAACCTGGAAACTAAACGCACCTCTTCTTGGCCTCCTCGTACTTCAGGCTCAGACGAACTTTCTCTGCCAGTTTGTTGGTGCCGCTCACAAACTGAGCAGAAACACAGACGGGTCAAACCACTGTAATGTGCTCACAGGACKCAGACCAGACCCAGGAGAATCTAACCCTCACCTCAGCGGGGACGTCAGTCTGAGAGCAGGCGTCGGAGTAGAGTCGAGGGATGGACGTCTCCGAGTCGTTGAGAGAGGGGCTGCTGCTCCACAGCTCCTGCTGAGAACCAGAATCCAGCTGGAACCCGTCCTTTAACACCGCCAGTTTCTGAGGAGACACAGAAACATCTCATGAACCTCRGACAGATTTTAATGAAACTTCAGGAAGTCATCAGTCAGACAACAAACCAATTCAAGATGGCTGCATCTTAGTTAAACACCTTCTCCATTAAAGCCCCGCACCCTTCATTTAAGCAACACCTTTTCTATTAAAGCCCCGCCTTCTTCATTTAAGCAACACCTTTTCTATTAAAGCCCCGCCTTTTTTATTTAGCAACACCTTTTCCATTAAAGCCCCGCCTTCTTCATTTAAACAACACCTTTTCTATTAAAGCCCCGCCTTCTTCAATTAAGCAACACCTTCACCATTAAAGCCCCGCCTTCTTCATTTAAGCAACGCCTTTTCTATTAAAGCCCCGCCTTCTTCATTTAAGCAACACCTTCTCCATTAAAGCCCCGCCTTCTTCATTTAAGCAACACCTTCTCCATTAAAGCCCCACCTTCTTCATTTAAGCAACGCCTTTTCTATTAAAGCCCCGCCTTCTTCATTTAAGCAACACATTTTCTATTAAAGCCCCGCCTTCTTCATTTAAGCAACACCTTTTCTATTAAAGCCCCGCCTTCTTCATTTAAGCAACACCTTCTCCATTAAAGCCCCGCCTTCTTCATTTAAGCAACACCTTTTCTATTAAAGCCCCGCCTTCTTCATTTAAGCAACACCTTTTCTATTAAAGCCCCGCCTTTTTTATTTAGCAACACCTTTTCCATTAAAGCCCCGCCTTCTTCATTTAAGCAACACCTTCTCCATTAAAGCCCCGCCTTTTCATTTATCCTACCTACTTCCTACTTCACTTAAGCTCCGCCTTCTCCCTCACACACAGTCATGTCACATGACATTTCTCTTAAAGCATGAAATAAATAATTGCGATGAGAGCTCAAACTTGTATTAAAACCATCCTTCTGTTTGGAGAACGGGTCTGAAAAACAAAGACCGACAGGAAAAGACGACAACATGGAGCCGGAGCTGCGTCTTACCTGCATGAGCTCCTGTTTCTCCTTCTCCCCGGAGCTGATGGTGTCTCTGATGGAGCGCACCTCCTTCAGGATGGCCTGCGCCTCCTGCTGCTTGTAGCCGTGCGGACTGTTGGACACCTTCTGGTTGATCCTGCAGGACGAGGAGGACATGCAGTTTTAGTTGCAACAGTTTTCTGTCAAAAGGTTCAGTTAACGTGGAAAAAACTAGTTTCAATGAGCTAAACTTTTTTTTTTTAACACACGCAGGAACAAAAAGTTTAAGCTTCATCCCTTTCAGGTTCTTTCTTGTTTTMGGGGAGGACTCTCAGCTACTACCAAACCAAACTTTAGCTGAATATCTGTAAAGTTACAGACATTTATGCTGGCTAATCTCCATTAATCTGAAGCTAATCAGTTGTAGATTGATGATGATTACTGTCTGTTCCACATAATATTTTGCTAACACACACTCAGGTGACCGCTGTGAAATACAACAAAACAAATTATTTCAGTTTAAATTAGTGTCGAAGTGCTGCAATAAATATTTTGTTGGTCAGAAGAAGTGGCGGGGAAACGGTCGAGGGCGAGTCACGGGTTCATCTGAAGAACCGGCCCGTCCACATTCTTCAGCGGGGGAGAAGGAGGAGGAGGAGGGGGGAGGGGCCGAACGAGCGCGGCGGCGGTGATCGAGAAAACAAGAAAGAATGAGGAAGTGAAAAAAAAGGAGGGAGGGGCGCGACTGAAACACGGAGAGGGAGTGACTAATCCCCTCAGAGTCCGGCTCCAACACACACACACACACACACACACACACACACACACACACACACACACACAACCTTTTCATCAGAAGGACGCATCTGAAGAAATCTGTATAAAAATATAAGCCAACAGAACCCTGCGTGTTCTACATTACATCTGATACCTGAACAGGTTCGCTTTGAATAAGACAAAAAAAATACGAGGAATCAGAAAAAACTTTTTAATCCTCATTATTAACAGGAACAAAACTAATTATCAAGTTCTACTCTAATAATAATTAATTTAAAATGTTTTCTATTTACCTGCATGTGTGCGTGTCTGTTAGTAAAACACTCAGTACGTCTACAACTGATTAACTTTCAGAGTCAACCAGGTAAAGTACAAAAAATGCCAGAATTCAGCTCTGTTTATGGATATTAAGCTAATTAAGAGTAGTGGTGTAAATCACCAGCTTTATATTTTACCTCGGTTTGTTTGGATGATGCTTCTCCATATCACAAAGTCATGATATGATTTTGATTCAATTCTGAAATCGATATATCAAACCACATCAGGCATAGGATGACCAGTATCAATGTTTTCATTTCGATGTAATTGAATAATTAATCATATAAATTGTGGATTGATGTAATGTTAGACTCCTACAAARAGATCTTGAAAAATCAAGTACAATTATTTTTGGAGTTTTACCAAATTCGTCTGTAAGTCTGATATTTCTCAACAAAAAATTACCTTTGGTTTCATTCACACTGCAGGAAAAACATGACTACTCTGATTTTTAACATCTTTCTTATTATATCCATAACTTTTTTAAGTTGCTTTTTTTGTTTTTTCAAAGCTGAGACGAGTAGAAAGACAAAAATGGCGACATAAAAAGGTGAAAAGGTTTGGTCCAAACACACGACCCTGGGGAACTCCATGACTCTTTCTGCTGCCTTTACAGACTCGAACATAGAAAATAAGATTTCAAGAAGCTACAAAGAGTAAAATGTAGATTTATAACTTTTTAGCTACAAAATAGAAGGTTAGTTATTTCATCTTTTTATATCTGACCCCCCCCCCTTCTACCATAAATTATGACATAAATTAATAAACCTCAGTGTTTGAACAAGACCAACTGACCGTGACACCATCTCTCCCCACACTTTCACTGTTCTTTAACCCATCTCATTTAACACAAGTCCTAAATACATTTTTGTGATGAACGTGGGCCACGAGGACACTCAAAGTTTATATAGTTCCCTCTCTTTTTCAGAAACCCCAACTCTCTGCAGTATTTAGAGAAATCCTCTGAGGAGCAGAGTGTGTGGCTGCATTCCAGCCTGAAGCCGGTTCCAAAGGCAGCGATTGGTCGCCGCCTGACGCTGTGGCGGGAGAGGAATGCGGTCGGACCGCTCTCTTTAATCCTCCCGACACTCTGAGCTGCACGAGGCCAGACGAACAGAACCGCGGTCCTGCTCAGCGGACAGAGGGAGGGAGGAAAATAAATAAATAAAAACAACACCACCCCATTTTTAATGATTTCACTTTCAGACCTGCAGACCCGAGGTGGAACAGACCCAGGATCCACACTCCTAAGTGGTTCTGTTTGGGTCTTTAGTCCAGTGTGGGGTAACGGGTCCGGTTCCAGCAACAGGAAGTTCTTTATATCTTATTGGACGGGAGGCGTCATGTGGTTCAGATAAAAGATAAAACAATGACTGTTGGCTGAACATCTAAAGGATTTATTCAGATAAAAAAAAACTAAATCTTTTGGTTCTAAAACATAAACGGATCCGGACTGCAGTGCATTCTGGGTAAACATCTGTCCTTTGGTCTGGTTCTGGTCCAGAAGTCTCATGGTTCCTTCAGATGAAACTAAGACGTGCTGTCAGAAGTCTAACTGCACGGTCTGACCTTCGGGGTGAAACTTTCTCTGTAGCGTGATGAACTCTAAATGACCTTTGACCCTTCCCCAGACTGACCCTCTGATGAGGACCAGTTCCTGTCTGGTCCTGTGGATGCAGCGAGACCCGGACCAGTTTCTCCCTCACAGCTGTGACTTTTGGTTTTTATTATATCCTGATAAGTAAAAACCTTAAAACCTGCACCCAAAACCAGGACAAAGACCGGTCCAGGATGGAACACGAGGACAAACTGTGAGGACATCAGGTTGAGACTTACTCTCTGAGAGTCTGGAAGCCTTGTTCTTTACTCTGCAGCTCCTGCTTCATGCAGGCCAGGTCCAACTTCAGCTGGTTCACCTGAGACAGAGGGGACAGAGGACACATCAGGGAAAATAACCTACAAATCCAAGCTGAGTCCTGTTTGGGTTTTTGAACATCTGAGATTAGTTTTTCAAAATAAAAGTTTGTGTCGAGGAGCAAAAAATCCACAAATGAAACAAAAAATAATAATAAAATTTATCCTCATAAACATGAAGACAAACAGCTGGAAGTTTCATTTGATACAGAATAAAATAAAAAATTTACTTACAATCTGTTTAAATTAAATTTTAAAGCTTCTTATGATAATTTACAGTAAAATTAAGGCTTATTTTTATTTTAAACTGGGCTTTAGGAAAAGATCTGTTATTTCTTTCCAACTTTAAACATCTTTTTCCTTCAGACTCTTAATAAAATAAGCAGATGTGAGTTAAATCAGACTCGTCTCTGTGATTAGTCTCTTTTATTTGATCTTTTTTGTAGAAAATATCTTTAAACTGATTAAAATAAAATATATAAAACATCTTTAAACTGATTATTTGAACTAAAAAAACAAAAAGCAGCAGCTCTTACTCGACTTTTGGCCGTAAAGATTTCTGCCTTGAGGATCTCTGGGTCGTATTTGCTGGAAGAGGACGATCTGGAGTTCACTGCAGGACAAACAACAACATGTTCAACAAACTGAGAATTTATTTTTACTTCATTTGTTTAATAATTTTCAGAAATAATCTGAGATTAAAGGTTGTAGAGAAGAGAATCAGGTCAGTTTCTGTTTGGAGTAAATTAAAACATCATGTCAACCTGTCGTTGAAGGAACGATTGATAAAAGCTGATTATTTAAAGTTTAAAACATCCGTCTGCAGGGGGGTCTCCAGCAGACCACCAGAATGCAGGTGGACTAAGTTGAAGCCAGATGTAACAGGAGACTCACAGCTGGTCTGGGACTTGGACTTGTCCCTCCAGGTGTCATTGAGCTGCTGGTACTCCTGCTGGGCCAGCCTCAGGCGCTGCTCCTTCACCTGGTACAGCTCCTTCTGGGCGCTGAGGGCGTCCCGGGCCACGGACAGGTAGTCCCGCAYCATGGCCTCCTGCTCCCGCTGCCACTGGACCCGCGGGTCCTCCAGCTGGGTGCTCTCTGCAGGGGGGAGTTAGGGGTTAGGACACACAGAGACACACACACGCCTCGCTCTGCACATTGCGTCGCCTCACTGGTGTTGTGGTCCACATAGTACGCTCCGACGACGGGGTCGTACGCCTCCTCCCACCCGACAGGAAGCTCATCTCCGATGCAGTCGGCGAACGTCAGAGGTTTGGTTTGTCTGAGGAGCCAAACGTTCACAGGTAAACTAACTTTTCTGTTATATGTAGACACGAACACACAAGCAGGATCTGGTTGATCATGTTGATCATCTAAGACACGAGTCCAATCAAAGGCCTGCGGGCCAAATGTGGCCTCCTGCCTCATTTCATGTGGCCCATGGGCTGCAAACATGTACAAATGTCTTCAAATAAGCTGCTTTAAATCAGCATTAACTATAACATTTTACTGCATTTTTAACCCAGTTGTACTAGGAAGTGGGGACTTCCCACTTACAAGTCGTAAATMTAAACTGGAACGCTCCTCTGCTGGGAATTCCCTGTGGGAAATGAGGAAGAGTTTAGAATTCAACACAGCAGCTACTCACAACTCATCAGTGAGTAAAACTTTTACTTTTAATAGTACTTCTGTAGTATTTATTTTGCATATAGTCAGTCGTGCACATAGTACTTTTAGGGGACGTGTTAAAACGCTGTTTCTACACAGGAAATACCAGGTACAGCTCAGTTCGTGTTTGTTAGCGAGGCTCAGGAACGTGACGTTTCCTGTTTTAGTTAAACAGAATTAAAGTGTCTGTGACATGCTCATCCTTCAGATAGTCAAAGAAAATTWGTTCTACTTAAGAAACGTTGTAAAGCTCACATTATTTTACACATTTGGACACATAACTGGTCTATTTTCTTATGAACTTGTAAAAGGGAAACAGGAAGTGACATCAAAGGGGAACTCCTTTAAGGAACACTGCTCTTTGTTTATTGACATTATTTGAACTCTGACTCTTTTAGTTTGTCTGATAGCGACTCAAAATAACATAAAACATCAGATTCCTCTCCATAGTATTTTAGTTTAGCTCTGTTTTCATGCAGATATTCCCCTGTGACATCACTTCCTGTTAATTCACAGGCAAATATCTCAACAACTCTTCATCTCAGCAGCGAGATATTTATTTTGTAATATGTTCTCAGTGTTATCTTTACAAAAATGTATTTGTATTATTACAGAAATTTTGATGTCACGGCCACTTTAAAAAGTATTTATTCCACAGTAAGAGAAATGTGGTTCAAGCAGATGGTTTCCTCGGCGCTCACGTCTGGATTTCCTTTCCTCCAGCCCGGCCCGCCACAGTTTATATTTAGAGACAAAAAGTGCTGCGTCTCAAATAAAGTGAATAAATAACCCAGATGAGAGGACCAGGTGTGGTCCAGGTGTGGAGCTTTGATTAATCTGTGGCAGAACCTGCAGCTGGTGGTACTGGTCCCAGTAATAAACCCTCAGAACGAGATGAGATTTATAACAAAACAAACACGGTCAGCTGAACTGAGGTTATTTTTATCAAATATAATGTGAAACAAACAGTTCAGCTCCTGTTTTTAAAAGATTTAAATCAAGACATAAACATTCAGAACCCTCCTGCTCTCCTCGGGTCAGATCCATCCTGGAGGTTTTTAAACCCAGCAGGGTCAGAACTCATCAGGTCAAATTATCTTCCATCCTGAGGATTCTGTCWTTTCAGATCCAGATTCAGGTCTGAATGAGGTAAAGCCAGTTTTTCGTGGTGAAGCGGATCTGTCGAGGTGTTTTCTGAAGAAGAGTTTCTGTGAGGCCGGGGGAGGAGGGGGTGAGGGGTCTGTTGTTCATCTCAGAGGGAGAAAAGAGGCTGGGATGGAGGATGAGGGACGGGGGTGAGGGGCTTTCTCTAACGGGTCACAATGGCAGGAAACAAACTCCAGGAATTCCACAAGAGATGCCGACGCATCCCCTGGAGGTTTCCACAGCAACCCTCGCCCTGACGGTGGCTGATAGCAGCGAGGCTGAAGTGAAACACGAGGACGTCCCCCCCCCCCACACACACACACACACACCACCACCCCCCAGACAAACTTTGAGTCAACGTACGGAGCTAAAGAGGAGCCATAAAGTTTGTTCATAAAAACTTCTGTTTGAACATGAAAAATAAGTTTGAACCTAAACATAAATTATTTGACACTGATAAAAAGTTTAAAATAAACTACTTGTATCATAATTAAAGTATGGCAGGCTGTTGTATCATACAATTTACAAATAAGCTATGTTGCAGCATAATTAACGAGTTACGGCAGAACTTTGTCTAATATAATTTAAAATATAGCAGGCTGTTGTACAGTATCATGTATTAAAGTATGGCAGGTCATTTTATTATATAATGTATAAAATATAGAAAGCTGTTACAGTATTGTATTTTAAGATGTATGGTCATTGTACCATTAATTTATCATGTAAGGCAGGCCCTTACTTAAACACATTGCAAGTTGTTGTATTATATAATAAAATAATCAGCCAATTGTGTCATATCATTAAGGAAGTATGGCAGGTCATTGCGTTAAATAATTTTAAAATATGACAAGGCGTTGTATTAAACAATTCAAAATATGGCATACCATTGTATCATAATTAACAAGTATGGCAGGTCGTTGTGTCATAATAAAATGTATGGTAGGCCATTGTTTCAATTAAAATATATGGCATGCTATTGTATCATATAATTAAAGTATGGCAGGCCATTAAATGTATAGCAGGTCATTGTATCATAATTTATCAAGTAAGGCAGGCCCTTACGTCATACAATTTAAACATATTGCAGGTTGTTGTATCATATAATAAAATAGTCAGCCAGTTGTGTCTTATAATTAACGAAGTATGGCAGGTCATTTTGTTAATAATTTTAAAATGTGGCAAGGTGTTGTACTATGATTAACCAGTATGGCAGGTCGTGTCATAAAAAAATGCACGGTAAGCCGTTGTATCAATTAAATATATGGCATGTTATTGTATCATATAATTAAAGTATGGCAGGTCGTTGTGTCATAATAAATATATGGCATGTCATAGAAGCATATAATTAAAGTATGGCAGGTTGTTGTGTCATAATAAAATATATGGCATGCCACTGTAGCATATAATTAAAGTATGGCAGGTCGTTGTGTCATAATTAGCTAAAGCTAAAGCTAAATCTGGTGCAAAGCATCTTTTAATGTTTTATTTGCACATTGTCCCTGTTTAAATGAAGGAATTCTAAAAAAATAAAAATATGGCATGTTATTGTATCATATAATTAAAAGTATGGCAGGTCATTTTCTCATATAATCAGAAATATACAATATGCATATTTTAGATCTCAAATTTTATAGTTTAAACGTATTTTCTAATAAACTTTATGGCCCCCAATTTAGCTCCAAAAAATATGCTAAAAATGCTAATCAGGTGTTAATATGTGCTTATTCATCCAAACTAAAACAAGTTCTGAACAGTTTATTAAAATAAAAACTTTGACTTTATTTTCACACCTGAACGCAGTAAAAAGCATAAAAATAAATAAAACTGGTTGCAGAAAATGGAAAACAGGAGGAGGTGAGSGTGTTTACTCGTCTGATAGGACGCGGCGTTTGGTGAGATCAGGTTCTGTTATTCTACACCGTGACCCGGAGGACGGACCAGGAGAGAGTCGGGTCCCCCGTGGACCCCTCACAGACCCTCGTTGGACAGAAGAACCATGTTTGGAGCAACAGAACCATGGACTGATGTAAAATCCACACTCTGATATGAATTCAACTCCAGGGAAACGTTTGATTTTCTGATATAAAACAGATCTATTTTCTCCAACATTTTGACTTTTTTTTCATCTTCAGACGAATTAATTAAAAATATATATTTTGTGATTGAACAGTGTTTTATTATTTAATTTTCAGTTTTTCACTGATCTGAACTAAAGAACAAACTGAACCCTGCGCTCAGACAATCTGCTGATGTGGAGCAGAACCGGGTCGTTTCACAGTGGATGAATAATGGAGAAGGTTCTGAGACGACCCACTCGCCTCGGATCTAAATTTAGACACGGAGGCCCGCTGGTCCCYGCTGCATGGATCCACGACCCCGAGTCCTCCGTCCTCTCGGACTCTAAATCCATCCAGAACCGAGGGGAGCCGCCGACCTGGACCCGTCACGCTTTGGCTGGCGGGACAACATGGCCGCCGCCTCACCGTCAATCATTTAACAGGCTCTCGTTTCACTGCAACTCATCTGAGCCAGAAGTACCGACCCGTCGGGTCCGGAGCGCAGCAGATCGGATCAGAACATCTCTGACGAACCGAACAGAGATTATATTCTGGCCTCAGTGTGCTGGGATTAACAATTGTTACAAGAAATATAAATCTGATCAGAACCTGAGATTAGATGAAACTACTGGACCTGCAGTTTTCAACAACCGGGTCGAGCAGAACCAACAGAAACGCCCGTCAGTACCGGCCCCAGAACACCAAACATCGGGTCAACTCCACCAGGAACTGCCGACAAGTCGACCCAATCAGATCATTGGTTCAATCAATTCAGCACTTAGCCCCACCTCCATGTTTGATGCAAAAGGGGGCGGGGCTTTTTCATCCCCAAAAATCTAAACAGAAAGGTAAACAAGAATAAAAGTGTTTATGTTAAATGTATTTCCCCAGGTGCAAAACTTTTTAAACTTTTTAWAGTATTTTGCTTTCTATAAAGCAACCTTCATGCTCCTCTTGGGATAAATTATAAATAAAGTTTGACACTAAGAAATAATATTTGTTTTTCTTTTTAATTTCAGAACTTTAAACTTTTTTATTATTATTTCAGAACATCTTTAAAGTGCCTGTAACATGCCTATATTCAAATACTAAGAGAAGAAAGCGTTTTGTCACATAACTGGACTATTTTCTTTTCAATCTTGCTCAGCCAAAGTGAAACAGGAAGTGACATCAAAGGGGAACTCATTAATAAAATAAACTTGCAGGTCTTATTTATTTATTTATTTATTATCTATTATTTATTTAAACTTTAGTTCTTTGTCTCTCTCTGATAGCAACTAAAAATAATCTAAAGAAACATCAGATTCTTCTCTACAGTCTGTTGTTAACTTTTGCAACAATGCTCTGTTTACGTGCAGACATTCCCCTTTGACATCACTTCCTGTTTCTTCACATGCAAATATCTGAACAACTGTTCATCTCAGTGATGTGAAATTTGTTTTGCAACATGTTATCAGTGTTATCTTTTCAAAAATGTGTTCATTTTTATTACAAAAATTTGATGTCACAGGCACTTTAAGGAATGTGATTATCCTCCCATTAAACAGATTTTTTCAGTCACCTGTAGGTGCTGGTGGACCCCCCACAGAACCTCAGTCCCTTTCAGAACCAGGACCAACCCTGTGAGTTAAATCCAGCCCTGTTTCCAGAAGAGAGCTTTTTTTTAAGCAGCTTATCTCGGATTCAAATGAAAAAAAACAACCAAATGTTCTGTTCTTGTGACGTTTTGGCATCAAATGGGTCAAAAATTAACTGGCAGGATATGAATTTTACARGAGCGGCTTCTGCGATGCAGAAAGCACGCGGGGAGGTGAGCTGCGTAGCTAAACAGTGACTCAGAGCGAATAAATAAATTCCTCAGGTGGAGCTCAAGGTCCAACAGCAGAACCATTAACTGGCAGAGCGTCCGAATAAAAAGCAGATAAAAAACAACAACCTGTGGCGGTTTTACAGTGCGTGTTATCGGGCCGGCTGCATTCCTTTCTCCTGACGACACGCTTTTAACGCATCGCTGCAAAACATGATCCTGCACTCAGAAAAACACGGCTTTATCCCACAGAACCACCCGAGAATTCAACCTTTTGTTGCCTTTGTGTCTGTTTTTTTTTTCTTCTTCTAAGTTCTGCAGATTTCTCAGTATGTGAGTGACGTCTCCTTTAATAAAAAAAAACTTTTACTTTTTATAAACGTGAATGTTTGCTGAGAAGAACTGCGATAAAGATGAAAGTTTGACTCGTTAAAGATGCACATGGCCCAAATATTCAAACGAAGACGGACAGATATGGAACCCGGCTGCACGCTCCGAGCAGGACGGCTTTAAGACAAACACAAAGACTTGTTGGAGACAAAAGACGTGCGGTCCGTCTTCATTCCTGACTGCGCCGTAATGGGAGGAGCTTCTGCCTGATGGCTGCAGGGAATTTAAACCACGTAAGGTTTGTGAAAGCTCCACCTGTGAGGAGAAACCAGCAGGTTTCCTGAGCCGCCGCTGCCTTCTGACATCACTCAAGCTTTAGAGTTTGTTGGGTTTGATTAGAGAATCTCAAGACCATCAAGGCCTCCAGGAGCCAGATGTGCTGCATCTAAAGCCTGAACATCTGGAGAAGAAACCCTTCAAACCTGATACAGCTGGGACTGTTTGACCATGAGGAATGGGACAAAGTACCAAGAGACAGGTGTAGACAGAGTCCTGGACCTGTGGAGAGGTGCACAAGTCTCAGACAGAGTCCTGTACCTGTGGACAGGTGCACAAGTCTCATAGACAGTCCTGCACCTGTCAACAGGTGCACAAGTCTTAGACAGAGTCCTGGACCGATGGACAGGTGCACAAGTCTCAGACAGAGTCCTGGACCTGTCAACAGGTGCACAAGTCTTAGACAGAGTCCTGGACCTGTGGACAGGTGCATAAGTCTCAGACAGAGTCCTGTACCTGTGGACAGGTGCACAAGTCTCATTGACAGTCCTGCACCTGTCAACAGGTGCACAAGTCTCAGACAGAGTCCTGGAATGGTGGACAGGTGCACAAGTCTCAGACAGAGTCCTGGACCTGTGGACAGGTGGACAAGTCTCAGACAGAGTCATAGACCAGTGGACAGGTGAATAAGTCTCAGAGACAGTCCTGGACCTGTCAAGAGGTGCACAAGTCTTAGACAGAGTCCTGGACCTGTGGACAGGTGCATAAGTCTCAGACAGAGTCCTGTACCTGTGGACAGGTGCACAAGTCTCATTGACAGTCCTGCACCTGTCAACAGGTGCACAAGTCTCAGACAGAGTCCTGGAATGGTGGACAGGTGCACAAGTCTCAGACAGAGTCCT